TCGCCGACACGGAAGCCTGTCGGCTCCTTGCAGCAGCAGCGAGCAGCAACAAGCCTCTCACGTCGCGACCAATCAGAGCACACTGGGCTCACAGAGAGGTGGGGCAGGAGCTCCAACAAGCCGTTTAGGACAGAGAGTGAATACCTGGTGAATACACATACTTTACAGAGATGCTGTTTGAGAAACCAATGTGAGTTTGGAACATTGAACAGTATAAATCTATTCTAGTATACCTCAACAATGGAATTATGATCAGTAGAAATGGCCATGACATGGGACCTTTAACATGTATTTATAACGGGATACAGTATACCCCTCAAGGTCTAATAATGAGATCCTCGACCCTCCGCCCCCCCCCCCCCCCTCCACACAGAGCCCCCCCACATATCAAATCCCAATTGAACCCCTGCTGATATCCAAACCTTCATCATTTCATGGAGTTATGGCTACAAGATGGGGTTTACCAACCAGTCCATCAGTGGTCCAATTCCACCCTTCCAGTTCACATGGGGAAGTGTTGGACAAGATACTGAACCTTAAATAGCTCCTGTAGGCATGTCTGTGGTATACATGTATGATGCTCACCATACTACTTCTCTGATGGCTCCCACAGGATTGTTGACATCCACCTGGATCCATCTTCTTATTATTTACAGACACATGCATTCTCCAGCATCTGGACTACCTACGTTGTACATTTTTTAAATGTACACACAACATCTATTATCTGTCCTCCTATGTTGCTCTCCCCGAGTTTTCTCTCATTAACTGGGGGGTTTCTTTGGAGGTGTTTCCTTGTCCGTTGCGAGGGTCCCCGAGGACAGAGGGGGTCGTATTCATATTCTGTACAAACTGAAAAGTCCACTGAGACAAATGTGTGATATTGGGCTTCATAAATATACTCTGATTGATTGATTGAAGTGTATGTAAGTCACTTTGTAATGCAAAATCCTGCATTTCAATGGGAATGTTTGTATGCAGGTCAACCCTTTGAGAAACTCTATGAATCAGCTTCAGCTAAATCTTAGGACTGGGAAAACAAAGTGTTTCCATCGGATCAGAGACACAGGGCCCTATGGTGTAATAAGGTCAGTCTAGAGAGAGGTTAAGTAGTCTAGAGCAGTGGTTCCCAAACGGTGTGCCGCGGCACACTGGTGTGCCGTGAGGCAAGTCCGGGTGTGCCGTGGGATTTTGTGACAACCATACGTTATTATTGCAATATACAACTACACAAAAATAATTATTTTTTAATTTACTATATCAGTACTTTGTATGCACTCATTTCATAATACAGAGGCAAACTCTATACCTAAAAACAATTCTTTAAAAATAAATCCTCACAGAACCCCATATTTCGCTGTTAACGCAGTTGCAGGTGGGAATTATAAGACCGTGACACATCGAAGGCTGAAGGACAACATTAAAACAGAGAAACACGCAAGAGGGAAAATGGAGCGCTTTCTTGTGCGGAGCAAACCACCAACCACCAGTGCAGAGACTGCCGACAACCCACCACCGAAAGAAAAGAGGAAAAAAACTGTCAGCAGACAGTATCATGAAAGTTACCTGTCTTATGGCTTCAGTGGCGAGCGGCAGATTTTCCCTACAAATAGACGAATCTACTGACATAAGTGGGGCTGCCCAACTTCTGGCAAACGTCAGATATGTTGATGCTGACTCTATCAAAGAGACGTTTTTCTTCTGCAAAGAAATGGAAAGCCATACTACGGGAGAAGAAATATTCAGGGTAACTAATAACTATTTAAAAGAGAACAGTCTGACCTGGAATATGTGCGTCAGTCTTTGCACAGATCGTGCGGCAAGCATGACGGGGAGAGTGAAAGGATTTATTGCTAAGGTGAGAGCACAAAATCCACATATCGTGACAAACCACTGCATTTTGCATAGAGAGGCATTAGTTGCCAAAACCATGCCCCCGGAGTTGACTGAGGTGCTGAATCAGGCTGTGCAGATGGTGAATTACATCAAATCAAGGCCCCTGAAATCTCGCCTCTTCTCCCAGCTGTGCGCCGAGATGGGAGCCGACCACCAAAGCCTGATCCTCCACAATTTTTTATTTTGTGACCTGTCTGGTTTAAATGAATGTGTTGCTGCTTTGATGAAGCCTAATTTGATAAAGTTTCAAATTAATTTCTGAAATATTTCGTTAATAAATATTTCATGAGTAATATAGTTGTCTTTGTCACATTTTATTTGGCATTAGTAAATAATTATGCACATTTACAGATATTTTACATGATATGAGTGATAACACGTGTTATAAGGGCTATTTTGCACAATAGGTGTGCCTTGAGATTTTTGCTTGTCCTTTGGTGTGCCTTGGGCACAACAAGTTTGGGAACCACTGCCCTAAGCTACCGAGAGCCAGTGCACCACGCTCTTTCCTAACCTAACCCTAACCCTAACCAAGTCTTCACACTAACATTAATGATTCCCCTCATGGGGACCTCCATTATGTCCCCATAAGGGAGGCGAGTCC